CCACTTAATTCCTTTTGTTTTCCTTTTAGATCAACTTTGTTATGTATTGTCATATTCCTCCCCAGCTTGAACCTAAGTAAAAGCAGTGCAGTGGAAAACTCCTTCCACTGCTTTCCATGAATCTTGTCCTGAGACAGTTCCCTGTCACACTGTTTTTTAAGTCTTATAAAAAAACATAACTTCAGAAACTGGATTATTAAAGTATTGTTTTAATGAAATGGTGATGAGGAAGGTTACCACATCACTACCTTTTAATTCCGTCAGTTTATTCAGTTCTGGAAAATGGTGGATATATATGATGGGATTCAGCTTCTGGTCAGAAAAGGCCACCACTTCACTGCTGGCATTTGCTGCAAAGGCTCCCACTGGGCCCGTTTGACACTGCAGTGCTGTCGTCTTCTTTGTTTCAATGTCCAGGAAGAGGATGTAATTACCACAGGGGTAGCAGACAGTTTGATTGTTGATAAAGCCAAAGCTCTTGTTTGAGAATCCCTGAACCCAGCTGGAAATAGAGCAACTGAACATTAACACACTAATCAATGACACACATTTCTCAAAATGCTGTGCTAAAGGGAATGTTGTAGCCTAAGTTACATTGAACTCATGCTTGAGATTTTTAAGACTCATCCTCACAACAATGTTGCAAAACCACAATAACTTCAAGATCTTGTATTATGAGTCACCAGTTCAGTGTTTTCAAAAACACAGGGTCAATCTTACCCTGATGGAGCACAACAGACTGCTGTAAGAATACGGAGAAATGTTTGTATTTCTTCCAGTTTTCACTAAAAATAAAATTAGTTCACAGACTCTGGTCTTGTACTCATATATCACAGTAAAGCATATACCCCTATTCTGAAAGAACTGCAGAGCTACAATTTGTACTTGGGACCCTGTTGTGTTTGTCTAACCTTTTTACACTTTCATAGTTCATCTCATCCCCATAAAATAAAGAAAATACGAAGGCACAGCTTGTGTTTATATGAACCCAACCAGAAGGACTGTTCTGCTTTAAAGACACCAGTATTTTAACATGGCAAAACTCTGGAATGTAAACAGGATGTGTTACACAAGGTCTGAAATAAATTACTGAAGCAGAGTCAGCTTATGAACTTAAAACATGTCAACAAATTCATAACTACCTGCAGATGTTTTTACCTTTCAGAAATCGTGTGGATAAACATCAGGGTCCTTTTATCAAAGGGATTTATCACTAAGTGAGGATGTCAGTTTAGCCTGCTAGTACCACGGCAGGAAAGTTCCAGCAGTGTAACAGGCACCCTCTGTGCACAACACTGCTGTTACCACTTTCTCTTCTAATTTCCATCTCTGCTCTTCTTCCAAATGAGAGCATTTGACTGGGAGAGACCTTTGTTCTCTGTAATTGCTAGAAGCACTTTTATGCTCCTTTCACGAACATAAGCCAGCCATAAGATCAGCTCAGCTGCTGACCCTTTGTACTCAGAAGAAGATGGTACTACAGCCTCGGCACTCTCATACTTACAAACATATTAAAATTACTAGTCTTGAGATATTTATGTCCAGCAATAACTTCTTGTTATCTTTTCTGAGGACCTTCTGCTCTTGGCTTCTTTTGCTACACGCAAGGGGGAAATGGGAGCACGTGTTTTCTTCCCCTCTCCACCCGCGCTGCCCTGTCAGATCCCACCACCGCGGGGCCCCCGTGGAGGCTGTGGAGGCTGTGCCGGCCGCCCCCACCTCACTTCCAGCGCGGCCTCTTCGGCCGGGAGCTCCCTGCCGGGACCTGACCCCGCCGCCATGGCCCCCGACGCCGCTGCCGCCCGTGCCTTGGCAACAGCAACGGCGTCTGCCATTGGCCAGGCTCGGAGCGCACATCTGATTGGCCCGCGCTCGTGCGCCACCCAATCACTGAGCGCGGGCGGGTATTTAAAGGGCCAGCAAGACAGCAGTAGCTACTTCTGATCCTGGCCCAGTGACCGTGGGTTCCTTCTGTCGGTCACCCTGTGTGTCCCTACTCCTTGGCCAGTGTCATCTGCCCTTCTGTTAGTGAGACAGTTGAACTGTTCTTCTGTCACCTCTTGTGCCTTTCCTGGTGGACTTGTTTATGAGGAACACCTCCTTCCTTGGAGGTATTTACGAGTTATCTGGATCTAGCGCTGGATTTAGAGGCTTAGGGGCTACAGTGGTCATCATCATGGCTAGGCTTTGCAAATGAAGATTTAAGAAGGGCTCTACCCACGCTTGCTGCAAACGCGCTGATGGCTAAAAAGGCCAATGTGAGATAGACAAGTCTGGTTGCAAAAGGCACAATGGAAAGTCTCCTTAGGCAGTATTGGCAAGACACGATTCTTTCTGCATTGTCTTTTCTCCTCAAGAATGATTCCGCATGTGTTCTCAAAAGAAGCACAGCGTTATGTCGAGTATGTCTCCATGTCTCCCGACTGGAGGCCAGAGTAGACCAATGGTGATGATCAATAATGGCCAAAGCTGAGATATTGTTTCAGGGAGTCCTTGTATCTCCTATTTGGGGCTCCTCTCTTGCAGCAGCCAGTGGCAAGTTCACCGTAGAACATGAGCTTAGGGAGGCGGTGGTCCTTCATCCTGGAGATGTGCCCTGCCCAATGCAGCTGTGTTCTCAGCAACATGGCCTCAATACTCGTAACTGCTGCCTGTTCAAGAACAGATGCATTAGTCACATAATCAGTCCAGTGAACGTTTAGTACTGTATGGAGGCAGTGCTGATGAAAGCGTTCTAAGAGTTGCAAGCGGTGGCAGTAGATGATTCAGTTCCATATAAAAGAGTAGACAGTACAATGGCTCTGTAAACACTAACCTTTGTACTTTTCTTCAGGTGTTTATTACACCAAACCCTTTTATGGAATTTTCCGAAAGCACTACATGCCTTTGCTAACCTGTTGCCTACGTCTTTGTCAATCTTACCATCCGAGGAAATGATGCTTCCCAGATAATTAAACTGCTGGACTGACTTGAGCTCTGATTTGCCGATGATGATATGGGAATGATGGAAGACTTCCTGAGGTGTAGGTTGGTAGAAAACTTGTCTTCTTCAAGCTGACTTCCAGCCCAAAAAGCTCAGCAGCCTCTGCAAAGCAGGATGTTAAACACTGCAGAGCTGCTTCTGTGTGGGCAACAAGGGCGGCATCAGCAAAAAGCAGCTCATGGACAAGATGATTTAAGTCTTAGTATGAGCCTTCAGTAGCCTTAGGTTGAATAGGCTTCCATTGGTATGATATTGGATGTAGATACCATTTTCTACTACAGTGGTAGTGCTGGGTGAACAATTGGATTTGATGATATTAGCTGTTTCTTCCAACCTTAATGATTCTATAAGGTACTACAGTTCTTGGACTCTGTAAGATGGGGCTCCTGAAGCTTCAGAGAGCTGAGAAGTCTGCTGGAAAAAAAAGAGGAAGTACAGCTGTGGTCTTTCCCTGTGTACTTGTGGCTTCTAGCCTAGTAATACTGTAAGAACCTTCAAACACTTAAAAAGCAGATTTAACAAAATCTTCTTTTCCCTTTCCTAAGGGAGGAATATAATTTATAGTGCCTTGCCTGCTTGTGTTAGCTTGCTGTTACTTAGCTCTACAGTGGCAGCATGCAGTTTTGTAAAAGTGCTGTGTACTCACAGTGCTGTAGAGGAACAGTGGAGCATGACATTCCTGTCCAGAGGCAGCAGGACAAGCCTATTCCTTACCTTTTGTCTCCAGAGCTGCTTTGTGTGCCACACAGAACCAGGAGAGAATGAGGAAGTAGGTTTATTTTCTCTGGTGCCTCTGAGGGCCTGTTGTAGCATGTGGGTGTTGTAATGCTACTCTGGTTTCCCATGTGCCTGTGTCCAGGTTGTGAGTCAACAAACTGCTTGTGTATTTCTTAATTGCTATGAGGAATTTCAAATTAACTTTCTCTTTTTTCTTCACCTGAAATTTTGCTGAATCTTTCTTAAGGATAGGTACTCAGAGGAACCAAAAGTCCTAACAGGCAAAACTTCCCTGCTGTACAAGTACGGATCCACTGATGAGACTGGAGAATCCCCAGTCCCTCTATTAGCCTTGGGGGTTTGACAGGGATGTGTACATTGCCAGGAAGGCCAGGACTTTCTCTCCCTTTTGGCAAGGGCTGCCTCAGCCCTCTGGTCCCTACAAATGTGCTGTTTCCTAATAACAAAGAGCTCTGACCTGAAGATTAGGTGGAAGTGTGTGGAGCCCCGGGAAGGGAATCACTTTACTTCTCTGATTATGTATCAACTTGAACACTGTGTGTAAGACACATTAAGAGGAAAGCTCCTCGACTTCCACTGTTATACCCCAGGAAAAAACGGTATAAGGAAGGCCCTGGTGTGCTCATCTCAACCGAAGAGGGAGCAAAAAGGAAGATGAGCACTCCAGTCTGCGCTTTGGTTCTTTCTTTTGCTCTATGCACACACTGATGCTCCCAACAGGCCCCGTTTGCAGAACAAGCACGAATCCCTCTATGACTGCAAGGTAGTAAAGAAGGTAAATCTAACTTTTGCTGTGCCCCCTTGTCCGCTGGGTTATCTACTGTCTCCTCTTGTGTTTTCACCATGAAGCAGAATAGCTGCAGGAAAGAGAAATCCTCCTTGTTACTGTGGATTTTGCAGGGTAGTAGGTGATGGAGCACTGCCGTAGCAGGAGGAGGCAATGAGGAGAGCCTGGTGCCTCGTCAGCTGCTGGGGGCAGCGCTTATAAACAAACACCTGGCCTGCGGGGTGGAGTTCGGAGGTGGGTGTCCCACTTACACGGGGGAGCCAGCGGGGTTGTTGTGCTGAGGATATAACCACAGAGAGGGAGCACGGAGAGCAGCTTGACACTGCCTGTCCCAGCTGGGTGGGGAGGGCGGTCAGATCAAGTAGAGACCACTGGGCAAGTGTGGGCCGGGCCGGGCCGGGCCGGCGACACCGGGCGCCGGACCCCCGGAGTGAGAGGGAAGGAGAGAGGCGGGCCCTGACCTCCGCCCCGCTAAAGGCGCTGGCTCCGGCCCGCCCCGGGGCCTCCCTCCGTGGGCGGGGCCGCCGGCGCTGGGGCGAGGGAGGCACGGTGGGAGGAGGCGGATCGTGGCACATCGCATCGTATCGGGATGGCGAACGATCGCTCCCGCAGCCTGGGCAAGGGTGAGCGGTGCGGTGCCGGGGCTGTGGGGGGCGCGGGGTGAGTGCCGGCGCTAACACCCCTCTCCCCGCAGGTAGCGCGCCGCCGGGGCCCGTGCCCGAGGGGCTGCTGCGGCTGTACGGCATGAGGTTCTGCCCCTTCGCGCAGAGAACGCGCCTGGTTCTCCGCGCCAAGGGCATCAGGTGAGCTCTGCGCGGCCCCTGCACCCCACGGGGCGGGGGCGGCCCAACCTTCCCTTCTCTCCTAAATGGCTCTTGGTTAAAACAGTCCTGGAAGAACTGATTGAAAAGAGGTCTGCGAGTGGTTTTGCTCTAAAGCTTTTTTTTTGTGGGGGGGGGGAGGGGAGAGGGCTGTTCTGAAGCACATGTATGAAATTAACTATGTAAAGGCCCAAAGTAAACCACAGAATATGCTGAGTTGGAAGGGACCCACAAGGATCATCAAGTCCAACTCTTAGGCCTGCACAGGACATCCCTAAAAGGCCCTGTGCCTGCAAGCATTGCCCAAATCCATAGGGAAAAACCCCAAGCTGATTATTTTTTTTTTCTTCTCGTTGAGTAAACATCCCGAATGTTTACAGTAATAGCATTGGAGCTTATCCTGGGTAAATGTGAGTAGAGACATAACATACACTTTTGTTTGTTTTTGATGAGAGCAGCAGTGAAAGTTCTGGGAGCTACAAGTTTCTGTTGTGTTACTACCCAGCAAAACACAATAGTTAGTGAGTGGCCTTTTTGAAAGAGGAAATACACTGTGTTCTACAACATGGTTTCATTCCTGTGCTGTAGTGAGCTAATGGAATTCAGTACTTGTGTTTGTTTCTTTTTCAAGATAGCCATATCATTTCAGTGTTCTTAAATGAGGTCCAATGTTTCTCTCAGTCTACAACTTAAAAGTCACGTTTTTACATCTTTTCCTGATTCTGCCAAGTTGCAGGCCTCCCAGTGGTTTATTAACCAATGTAGGTCTGGGAGTTCATGTAACGTAGGGAATGCTTACCATTCAGAACTCCTGACAGCAAAGTGAGAGTTGAGTTCATTTTATTTTTTCCATGGGTCTTTTTATTTGAAAGAGTAGATGCAGTAAAACTTCCAGGCCAGTATAATTCTGTCTTTATTTAGTGCTGGGAGGTTTCTTGTAGTGATTCTGGAAGTGATTTATGGCTAGATGTTGTAGTTGCCTTCTGGTAACCTTTCAGTGGTTTTGAAGGTTCAGCTGTGTTTAGCAGACCTTTGGGTTTACTGGGAATTTTGTGGGGTCACACATATAGCACAGCATTTAACCTATGGCTTGTTAATCTTTTTATCAGTATCTTTTTGCCTTTACCCTAAACACCTATTTTAGGTTGGGAAGATAAGTAGGTAGGATGCTCTCCTGATTTGCTCTTTGGTTTAAGGACAGGTTAAAGTTCAGTTGCATTTCTTAATTGAGGTGTAGCTTATTGGTAATAAAGTGTTACTTTTTTAGAATGCCCTTGAACCCACATGTGATAAGTGTGCTGAGTTCTGACCGTTTTTTTTTAGCATGACAATAAGGGCTGCCTCTGTTGTGTGCTTGCAGACTGTGCGTGTCTTTTATTAGTTCAACAAACAACTCATTTTAAGTCAGTCCTGACTTTCTCCAGTAAAGTATGGCAGTATCTTATCTCTGTATCAAAGGATTAGTCCTGCAAAAGACTTCAGGGAAAATGGGGGGAGTGCAGGGGAATGAGGATTCAGGCTCTCAATACTGAACTTTTGAGGTGTAATGGCTTGTGTTTCACCATGGTATGGAGTGGACTGTAGCAGAACTGAGCCTGTCTGGGTCTTGGTTGTTTTGCTGTTTTAGCCATGAAGTAGTCAACATCAATCTGAAGAACAAACCTGACTGGTTCTTTGAGAAGAACCCCTCTGGGCTGGTCCCTGTTCTGGAGACCAGCAAGGGCCAACTGATCTGGGAGTCCCCAATCACTTGTGAATATTTGGATGAGGCATTTCCAGAGAAGAAGCTGATGCCTTCAGACCCATATGAGCGAGCCCGTCAGAAGATGATGTTGGAAGACTTCTCAAAGGTAGTGCCTGATCAGTAGTGTAGGATTATGTTTTTTACTTTAGCATCTCACCAAAAACTGCAGCTCTGTTGCTGAGGCTGCTTCCATCTTTTGAGGCAGGTCTTGTGTCTGGGAAAACCATTTAAATAACTGGAGGGGGTATGTGGGGTCTCTTGATGTGAGCACATACAAACCACTGTGTCTCTGAATTGCTCCCAGCACTTATGAGTGGGGATGGGTGCAGGAAGAGGTAGGATTTTGAGCATCGTACAATAGAGCAGAGGTTAGTAGAGGTTAGTAGAGGTTAGAAACCAGCTGAATACTTGAGACCTACACAGTGACAATTGCTGTATTTAACCCAAGTATTTGTGTTGGAAGTACTGTGTGAATGCAGAATGTGAGGAGTGCCTGATGGAGAGAGCCTACAACCATGGGTGAGAGATGGTATGTGGCTGTTGACATGTATAAGGAGGCTGGGTTTGGCTCTCATTTTGGTTTGGAGGTGGTTGACTGCAGTTAACCTCTCTGTACAAGCATATCCTTTGAGGAGTCTAGGAAGTGAAAGAAGTCAGCTTGGATATGAGACAGGAGAGGAAGGAACAAAAGATGCAAAGAGATGTGGACAAAGAAGGGGGATAGAAGGGAGGATATATTTGCAACAGACCTTTCTGGATAGACCTGGTGGGAGGAGGGTTACAGGGAATCATGTTGCAAGAAAGAAAATGTGCAGGTGGGAAATGTACCCTTCTTTTCACTATTCTCTTCTTATTACAATATTAAAATTCATTACTATTTGTATTAATTTTTCCTGTAAGCCTTCGCTTACCTTTTCTGAAGTATAGAAGCTTTTTATTAATGGACTTTATTTAGCTCTTTAAAGTCAAATCTTTAAAATTTAACTTGCATTTAATATCTTAACATCTAAGTTAACATTTTAAGTTCTGAGTGACTGAATTATATTATTGTAATAGGAACATTACAGACTTCATACTTTCCTTTTATAGATAACACCCTTACTTTTCAAGCATGTGTTGGCAGTCAAAGATGGACAAGACACCACAGCACTGAAAGCAGAGATTGCTGAAAAGTTTGGCAAATTCGAAGAGGTAAGAGTGTTTCATGATAATGAGTAGGTTGTCAGCCTTTGTGTGATCTCTTTTTTCTTTTCATGCTGTGGCCGTTGGAGATAGATCTCTTCTCATTTAGTTGGTAGCTACAACAAGGAACAATCTTTCAGTTTACTACTCCCAGCCTAGAATGCACAACCAGCACCATCAGAGTAAATGTCAAGTAGCTAAACTAAACTTTATCTGATGAGGAAGACTGCGTGGACTTGTGGAGATTTTTGAATTCTAGCTGACTGCTGTTACCTTGGCTGTCTTTGTTCTGCTTTAAATGTATGGACACCTTGCAGGATGTACTAAGGGCAAGGGCTGAGGAGCCTGAGCTGCTGAAGAGCATCTGTTCTGTAGCTCTGCTGAAATCAGTGCAGACATGCTGATGATATAAAGTCTTTTTCATTTGACAGATTACCTTTGGGGGGAGGAGGGGGGGAAGAAGCAGAATATAATCTGTGCCTTGTAGAAATCCAGCCCTGGACCATATTCTGCCACTCGAGGTGTAATGCAACTTCAGCAGAGCTCCAGCAGCTGTCAGGTGGCTTTGGTGCTGTATTAATCACTTGACAGTCCATGTCAGTAGTGGTTCTTGGCTAGTCTGAACAGCTGTTGGACTTGCCTTTGTCATGAACCCATTCCTTCTGCTTCTTTAGCATCCACAACTAATGCCTGTCTGAATCAATTAAGAAGAGTTGATAGAGTCATAGGACATGCTGAGTCATTTTCAGGGTAGTCTTGTTTGTCTGATCAGCCTAAGCTTGGAGTAGTGCAGATGACAAATGAGTTCTTGAGGGAAGTCATGTGTGTTTCACTTTCCTTAATGTTTAATAGAGTTGTATTTCAGGGAAGATTAATCTTCCCTTTTGATCAATGCAGTGAAATACTTGCTGTTCCTTCAGTGTTTCTATTTTACTATGCCCTGAAGGATTTTGCAGCAGCAGCTGACAGTCAGCTGAGGATGGGAGGCAGGAACAGAGCCGTGCAAACTTCCCTCAGCCTATTACAAGTGATATTCCAGAGGGGAAATGTTTCTAAACAGTTCTGTATTTCAATTTCTGCTGCCCAACAGAGGGGGCTGTGCTCCCATCTCTGCACCTGTGCAGTGGCTGGTTGTGCTCTGCTAGACACCTGGAAACTCAAACCAGCTCGATGCTTCCTGAAGGGCTGCTGTGACATTTCTACTCGATCACGGGGGTTAAGGCACAGGGAATAAATGCCATACAAGTATAGAATAGTGGTGAGTGTCCAAAAAGACAAAGATTTTTAAGGTCTCTTGAGTTTCACCTTTAAAATGCCTGAAAACAGAGGGACTAGTCTAATGAAAGAGGAGACCAAGCTCTGGAGGGTCATTAAAGCATGTTAAACTTGGATGACCATGGCACTTAAAAATGCATCACAACTACCAGTGTAATGGGAGAACTTGCTGGATTCTTTGTGACCCTGCTTTCTGTGCTGTGAGGATCTCTTCCTGGTGTAACTTACACTTGCTTCCTGTTGCCTTTGCACCTGGAATGAAATGCACTTTGATATGTAATGTTAGAAATGTTTCCCTAACACCACTTCGCCTCAACTGCCATGGGAAAAGAGTCCCTTCTAAAATGGCACTCTTACTTACCTGGATGTTAAATTTAGCTGGATTTATTGCTCAAGAAATGCGTGTGTGTTATGTTTGATTAGTCTGTGCCATTAATGACTTTTGAGGAGTAAGAAATCACAAACTGACAGATTCTGAGAGCTAAGTTCCTCTGTTTGTGCACATGCTGCAGATTGCTAGTGATTCATATTTTGTGACAGTTTTTGAATCTGTGGAAAAGAGTTGGACTGACAGTTTATGAAATAGCAGCCGTAGTATTAAGCTTGACTGTACTCTGCCAATATTGCACACACAAGAGAAATACAGTATATCCTTTATTTGCTGTCTGATCCCTACAGTCTCCCTGCATCCCTCTATGAAGTGGGTTTTTTGATATTGTTCTGTTGTACTTTTTCTTCTGGGGACAATTGACATTTCTGGCCCTTCACAGATTCTGTCCAAACGCAACACTGTGTTTTTTGGTGGGAACTCCATCTCTATGCTTGACTACATGATCTGGCCATGGTTTGAACGCCTGGAAGCATTCCAGCTGAAAGAGTAAGTACCTTGCCTAGCTTCTAGTGAGTTCTGAAGTGCCCCAGTATACATATTCTTTGCATACATGCAGCAACGAGACACTCATGGGGGCTGCTGAAGAAGGCTTGTATTATGTTGCAGTTGAGGGGAAGCATCTTACAAAAAAAAAGATGAGTTGTTCAAGGATCTTCTATAAATAGCCTTTCTTTCACCAGCTGTGCTTTCCTACCAAATAATTGTGACAGACCTGGAAGAAGTGGTTGAAATACAAGACTTTATCTCCATCCCTAGTATCATAGATGAAAATAGTCTTTATTTGAAGGGGATGGAGATACAGCAGCCTAAGTACAAATTTTTTATCCAAAACCTCAGATTATGCACATGAGGTGGTTTTTTTGTTGTTGTTGTTGTTGGTTATAGTTTGTTTTTAATATCTGTGGGTTTGTGGATTTAATCTGTTAGTCAGATCCTCAATTTCTTCAGTAGACTGTCTGTTTTGAGCTGCTGGGTTGCAGGGTTGTACAAACTGCACAGCTTTTCTTGGTATTCAAGAAGGCTCAGAGGTTCATGGGGGAAGAATTCAACCACTGCACACAGCATTTGCCTCAAGAGGCATTGTGAACAAAGCATTCCAGAGGGAGGCAGTGGAGCACAAGCCTCTGCCCTCAGCTCAGGGCAGATGATAAATAAGAGCTGTGTGTTTTGCAGCAGGGATAACAGGAAGCAAAAACATGGTGATACCTTGCACAATAAGTGCTCTATTGTGTTTTTGCTGGGCTTTGCAGAGCCCACAAGCTCCATAAGAACTCTTGCACATTCCAAATGCTAGTTTGTCTTCTATGGCCTGATATCTATACCTGTCACCTGCTCTAAGCTGAACATTGTACTGGGAGGGAGAAAGTAGTAAAATGGAATTGTTGAAGCTGTTTTCCTTCCTTCATGCCCTCCAAATTTTCCATTTGTGTAACTCAGTCTCTTCCCTTTTCCTGTAGCACTTTGAATCACGCACCAAAGCTCCAACGCTGGATGGAGGCCATGAAGGAGGACCCTGCTGTCAAGGCTATAATGACTGACACACAGACATTCAAAAACTACCTCCAGCTGTATTTGGTGAACAGCCCTGAGGCATGTGATTATGGGCTCTGAGGTGCCAGTAGGCATGAGCTTGCTAAAGTGTCAGTGCTGTTTTTCAGTACGGCGACTTAGTGTAATTTGATGTGGGCTCTTCTGTGGTTGCATTTCATGATTGGGAATAAATCTGTGCTGAAAAGCTGAGAAACCTGCTGTGAACTCCACTTCTTCCTGTCATGAGAAGGATGTGCTGGCTTGAAGCAGGAGATGGAAATTCATTGCCAGCCATATATATTGCATAAGGGAAGATGTTGTTACTCAGAGGTGATGGTCTGTAATCTCTGGCCTCTTTGTAGGCATTGCTGGTGGGCAGTCCCTGAACTGATGCTGTTATGTGATTTAAAAATTGTAATACTGGTGTCCTGAAATTGAATAAAAAGCAAACAATGTCTTTAAAGAGTTTTTCCTTCCGCTTTCTGGGCAGCTGTTAGTCACTGGTCATGCAGAGAGAGAGGAGCAGTGCACTGTAAAGGCTAAAACAGATAGTGTGGCTTGTGAAGTTAAGATGTTACTTAGTACAAACTACCTCTTTAGACAGAACTACTGCCAAACCACTGACCTCGCAGCCCTGTTCACTTATCCCTGCTGAAGTCATGTTCACAGGGACCATCTAATAAAATTCCACTTTGGGGTAGATATGCTAAGGGAGAGTGTATGGTTGTAATCCTTCTCTGTCCTTCTGAAGTTGGGTAGTGTTTATTCTAGGTTCTAATCTAAGGGCTGGAGTAGGGAGTAAAGCGAACAGAAACCATATCCTGAGCAGAAGGACATTTATTTTTTGTTCTGCTCCAGAACTCAAAGCATTGCTGTATTTGCCAAGGTGTAGATGAAATCAGAGAACAGAAGTAGAAGGAGTTCAGTCAGAGCATTATGTACTGGTGGAGTCTTGCTGCTTGATGAGGAAATGAATACATTCTGTTCCATCAGGTAAATTGCAGGATCAGAGCTTGTCAGTTGAACATCTTTTGAAGGTATCCTCTGTACTAACGTAGCTGTGTGGGGACAAGATTGTTTGAATCACAAGTAATCACAGGAAAAACTTGTTCCTTTTTTTTCCTTTTATCCTTTTTTCCTGTCCACATAGGGGATTAAAAGATCTATTACACCTTCTGATGTTGCTCAGTTGTGTATGTCCATCAGACCACTAGCAACCCAAACTAGCCAAAATTCCAGAGAATAAGCATGCAGATAGATACAAGGCAAAGCAGCATGTCCAGGGGCAGGGCTGTGGTTCCTGTGGTGCTGAGATACCCAGGACTGTTCCTGTCTGTCTCCCGTTGCAGTGAGGTAAGGTAGCATAACAGAAGGTAGTGGTTCATGGATTTCATGGTAATGGAGGCACTGGGAGTCTTGGAGCTTTTCTGGAGAAAAGGTGGACTAACCTTTTTTTTACCATTAACGTGTTCTAGCCCAGCACATTAAGGAGGTGCATGCTTGTGTAATTTCAAGTAGGAAAGCAGATATGAAAGGCAGATTTGATGAGGTAAAAGAATCAGTAGGAACTTGGTTTGTCAACCTGCAGCTATTGGAGGGGCTTGTTTATGCTCTTATTAGCTTTAATTCAAACTATGTGACTTTTTCTCTCCTGTTTATCTTTGTGACTTTTAAGCACATCTGGCACTACTTAGAGAAATAATTATCACTCTGCTGTTCCTTCCAGAATGCCAATGTCTTCTAAAAAGTTTCCCAGTCGGAATGTGATGGTATTACGTGTTCTGTAGATTGTCATTAGAGAACCCAGAGGAAGCATAAAGCTGTGAAGTGTGTTGTCAGGATGTGGATCTGGCCCTTTTCATTAGATGAAAGCAGGGTCTGAGCTTTATAAAACCACTGTCTCTGAAGTAGTGGTGGTGGGATCTCAGTGGCAAACTTCCAAGGATTAACTGCAGAACATTTTGGTTTTATTAGCTGCTCTGCTTTGTGTAGGGCTTAAGAGCTGTTAGTATAGTGCTAGAAATATGTAACAGTTTGCTCCACTGTGTTGGACTCTAGCGGGAGATGTGACATTAGGGAGATCCAATAATAGGTTAAGAGCAGAGACTGGCATCCAAAAACTGAACTGACTAGGGCCAGACCATGGTAACCCAGAGACTGTGTTGTCCAAACAGAAAGATGTGCTCTTCCCATCTTTATTTAGTGGCTGTAGGGTACCATTATAAATGTGCTACCTCAGCAAAAAAAAATAAAATGAAATATTCTGCCTTATAATTTGCTATTAAATATCTGTGTTCTAAACCCTCAGGCAGACAGCTGGGGTCTTGAACTCATTACAGCACAGCAAGAAATGCAGGCCTCAGGCTAAGTGTTTTTAATGTGGTAATGAATATGCAACAGTTTGGCCCAGTTTTCAAAGGAAAACACAAGTTATGTGGAATGGACTGGCTCTCTCCTTTCAGTGGATGGGTGTAAAGGAGACACTGTATTAATTTGAAGAGGCCAAGAAAAGAAAACGCAAATCTTCAGTTTTGCTCAACAGAAGAGAAAGATGGAAGTCAATAAGGGAAGGGCCAAGCAGATGAACAGCTGTGCCCTTTGCTCAGACCTCTCCTTAAAATCTTCTGTGGATCAGATTGTACAACAAGTACAGTCTTTACTCACCACCTACTCCATATTTTGCCCTTAAAAATTGTTTCTGGTGCTATTGCTTTCGAAAAGAGTTTTGGTTTTATTTGGTTGGGGGTTTTTGTTTGTTTGTTTGTTTTTGTCAGGTTTTTGTTTATTTGTTTTTTGTTCCCTGTTATTGAGTCACCAAATGTAACTGCTCTTAGCACAGGCTAAAGGAGATAAATTCACTGTCAAGCAAAAAAGGACAGAGTTTGTCTTGTTAAAAATAGTGAGTTTAGTAGCATGATGGATAATAGATACTTCAGATTAGCAAGGCATTGAGCCTTGTTCTGTTCTGCATTTATAACATGTCTCTATATCTTTACTGATGTCCCTGAGATGGTTTTTGGTACCGTAATGGAAGACATGGTCCAGCCTTTCTTTTTTCATTATAATTTTAGGAACCCTTATATTGAAGCTGAGAGCAAGGCAGAAGGCAACCAAGATGAAGGGAGGGAGGAATGGGGATTCTAGGCTCTCAAATCTGGGAAGTTTTGCAGTTTTGGGTAAGCTGAGTGGGGACTTGCGTGAGTAGGACTGTGGCTATGCCAGAAGGCTCTTGCTTGGGGAAATTGTTGAGAAGCTTCTGTCCAGGGAGGTGTTAGAAAGCTCTGTGGTTCTTGTACTTAAAGTGGTAGTAACTGGAGATGGTGACATCTCAAATGTGACATACTAGGGACACCTGAAGCACTTGTGTGAATTCTGTACAGATGCCTGTAGATTTGTTGCTTTTTCTAATCAATTAAAAAGGAAGAGAAAAGGAAATCTCAGCTTCTCGCCGTGCCTCCTTTAACAGCTGTCTGTCCAGCCCACCAGAGGTGCCTGGCTGTGTGTGAGCACATGCATTGGGCATGTGGTGTTGGCACAGTGTTAGATGTCCTGGGCCTACTCTCCCAAATTTTCCTCTGTCATGGCATTTGTAATGTTTCCCCTGCATTAGCATGTTTGGAGAACTGTCTGTTTCTTATCCTCTCTCTTTTCTTTACTAGTAGCTCGAGTATTTCACTACTCTGTTCCTTGGACATGGATTTCATGTGGGAATGGCTGATGCAAATCCAGTCTCTTTACAGTTGTGAGGTCAAGTGCAATTTTTACTAAATCATCCTCGATTTCTATAAGATGGAAACAGTCTTTTCTACTGCTGGTCCAAAGCCAACAGGGACGGCAGTTTCTGCTTTATCTGAGTAAATTAGTGATGCCATGTGATGTTGTTAGATACTAAACCACTATGACTTACTAAAACATGAGTTTTAAAACTTGTCAGTGAGATGCAGCTGTGTTTGGGGTGGTGTGTGACATCTGTTCAGCAGTCTGCAATAGCACCGTATCTGAGTCCAGGAGGGAGAGAGAATGCAGCTGGTATTAAGGGACAGATGTACTGAGCCTGTTTTGTGCCTCTCACAGCATCTTCTGATGTGCAGGAGGCATATTGTGAGAATTACAGCACATGCTGCAGGTTTGCATCTTAGAAATGCCACTCTTGGCAAAGATGATGGAAAAAGCCATCTCTCCAGGGGAAAGGGAGCCAAGAACAGGGGCACTGAACAGCCACAAGCTGGGTAGGGAGCAGACAGTGTTTCCTGTAAGCTGCAAACCATTTGCATGAGTCACCTATGTGGCTGCACAGCAAATGCACAGGAAGGATGAGGAAAATGGAGGAAAAAAGCTGTCAGCTTCAGACTGCCTAAAGAATCAGTGAGGACCAACAGCAATGTTATGGCTTAATGCTGTCCTTCCCACAGGTCTCTGCAGCATTCCCATTACCCCAAAAGGTGCTTTTGTGCCTTTCCTCCTGTCACTCAAACCATCCTCAGAAGGGAGCTCTCAACAATAAGTGCTCTGGGCCAATTCACAGGTTGGAGTTTGGCTGGTTTTTTCCCCTCTACGTTCATCACACAGCTCTTTTCTGTGCCTGTTTAGGCTTAGAAACAGAGCTTGTCCCCTCTTCCTTCTAATAATAAAACCATGGTGATTAATCAGCTGTTCTTTGTGGGAAGACAGCTCTGATGTAACCTTTGTATTAAAACCCACAGATTTGGTGCCTCTCAATTCCTCTCAATTTGCTTTATGCATCTTGGCTGTTCTCTGCTCGTGTATCTCTGCTCTGTATCTCTTTCCAAGCCCTAAAGCTTTGCCAGGTGTGGCTTTGGCAGGACAGTCAGTGTGGGACCATAGGTAGAAAGCTGCATGTTGGACAAGCCTTGCTTTTTCTCTAGATTTGCATACAGGAGCTTCATAGCACTGACATGATGTGATACCCCTGAAGGAGAACTGAACTGGCAGGAATATCCTGCTCACAGTGCAGAACACCTCTGTTCTCTGGGAACGCCCATGTGAGGGAGGCCAGGCAGGGCTCTGTGCTTACAGGCACAAGAACCGCCCAGGGCTGCCCTGCTCTGCCCTGCCTGGTGTAGGCTGGCAGGGATGAGACTAGGAACATGTTAGCAAGCAAAATACCACCTCCCTGAGGATCTGGGAAATCCCTGTGTGCTGTTTGATTCCCAGCAGAGGGTTAGAGAGCAAGACTGAAGGTTAGGAGCCATA